TTTGGCATTTGTTTTTTAAGGATTGGCTAGCTTCACTTAGCATAATCTGCTCCAATGCCATCCATTTCCCTCCAAATTCTATGATTTTGTCGTTTTCCAGGACTGGTTTCTAAGCACTGAGCTCAGTCACTCTGACACATTCAAATTCTCCCTTTGGCTGGTTCTGCCCGCTGCCAGATTCAAGGGAGCCGGAAGGAGGGCAGGTTTTCTCTGGCCTTTCTGATCTGTATTGCCACCAGCCAAAATGGTTTCCGTGCCAGAAATTCTGCATGCCAGAAATTCTCCTGATTTTCTAGGCTTAGTTTAGATCTTGCAGTTGGCATCTGCTTGATTCATATATTGGACTCAGCCTCAAACTCATGAACCTAAGTTCCCAGTCTGAATTAGAACCACTGTCACAAGGATGTACCAAAATATCTCTTGCTTGGGCTCCCTGTGAACATGTGGCAGACCTAACTTTGGTGTACCAGTTTAATGAGCCAAATAGCCTCTGGGTTGGCCCACAGCAAGCTGCCCCTTCCATCCTAGGACTCCCCACACCAAGACTTTTCCAGCACTTTAGGATCATTTTCAAACTTGTGCATCAATTTTACTCACTTCCACCAAGAGCCTTAGCCTTATCTGATGTACCCAAAATTTCCTAGTCTTCGAGGCTCTCTGTCCAATACTGAGTATCAGTAGAGTGCTTTTTTTTTTTCATTTACCTCACAGAGAAGTAGTTTTCTTACTGTTTGAGTACTAAGTCACAGAGTTGTGAGAAAAGCCACTTCCTGCTAATCTGCCATCTTCTCTCCCCACTCCCATTTTTTTTAGTTGTAGATGGCCACGATACCTTTATTTTTTTATTTATTTTTATATGGAGATGAAAATCGAACCTAGTGTCTTGCACATGCTAGGCAAGTGCTCTACCACTGAGCCACAACCCTACCCACTATAGATAAGTCTTAGAAAATAAAGAAGTTTAAATCTAACAGCTCCTATCATGATGAGGGAGATATAGAAGGGCTTAGGCAATAAGGACTAGATAGTGAGGAAGTCAGGGGCAGGGCCAGAACAAAGGAACATGGAGAGGGTCTTCTGATGAGGTCAACTTCCTGCTTGATAAAAGTGCTCATGGACACAAGTGGAGTACCCAATCAGACAGATACTTCTGTACTCATACTCCTAAGCGGGGGATCCAATAGAAAAACTAAGATATGTGGACAGAGGGGGCACTAATCAATAATAGTGAGAAGAGTATGGATGGGGAGGAGATAAGGAAAGGAGGAGATTCCAGAGACCATAAAAAGAACAGACCAAAACCCCCCCACCAAATTCCCAGCTCTGGGACCTCTTTTCTTTGGAGAAGTTTCTCTCTGTATCTCTGTCACCTTTGCAATAAACCTACTTCTTGCTTGCTATCTCTGTGTCCTGTTCTTCAAATTTCTTTTTTAAACAGAGACAATGAGCCCAGCACCCCTAGATGGGAATAAATAAAGGATGAGGCAAATTCATCTATTGAGAGTAAAGGTGGAAGAGGAGTTTTAAGAGGTTTGAACACAGGCAATCTGATATGAAACATTCATCTCAATACTAACTTAACACATTTCAAATATTCTTATCTCAACTCCAAAGGCTGCATCTGTTTTGTTTTGTTTCATTTTGGTTTTGGAGTTGGTTTTTGGTTTGGTTTGGTTTTGGTGTGTGTTTGTGGGTTTTGGAGGTGTTAGGGGGTATCTTTTGTTGCTGTTTTGTTTTGCAATACTGAGGATTGAACCTGGGTAACTCTACCACTGAGTTATATCCCCAGTCCTTTTAATTTTGAAACAAGGTCTTTCTAAGTCACTGAGGCTGACCTCCAACTTGTGAACCTCCTGCCTCAGCTTCCTGGAGTTGCTGTGATTACAGACATGCAACACCACACCTGGCTTACATTATTATTAATGGGCTTACTAGTCAAGGTCCAATCACCCAGAGACCACTCTTATGGCTTCAAAC